CACCAAAGCAACATGTAGCCTTTTTCACTTAGTGATACTGGATTAAGTCTAATTCCTACACAGCAGAAAAGATAACTTGGAAAATTAGCAAAAATAGTCCACCAGCTAAAATATGATAAAGTGACTCTAAGACACTCAGCGATCACAGCATCAAAATACCTCAGGGGAATTGCTAAGAGACAAGCAAAAGCACAGGGTGAAATAAAGACATGAGAGAAGGGTGTATTAATAATAGACTGGAAAAAATGACCTCATAACTAACCATTTACCTACCTAACATTTACCTAGGAGGACTGATATGTATTTAATGAGAAACATTTAACCTATTAATTAATGTCTTCTTCGGTTTTATAGCAACACGACAACGACTAAAGAAGAAAGAAATCTCCAAAAGCTGTTGGTTTCCACTTCTAGGACATCAGCATGTAGGTCAGAGTGGAGCAAGGACATTGCTCCTGCTACCCTTGTGCTTGGAAAATAACTAGAAGTTGAAGTTGGCTTTTCTAGAACACTGACAGAAGAAGGAATCAATCAATAAATTTCTTAAGGCTGGACAAGATACATGAAAGCTTACAGGCATGTTTTCTGAAAGAACATTGAGAACTGAATGCTGAAGCTTGATCAAGTTTTGAAGCAGCTTCCATTCATCACTGTAGGACTGCAGAAATCCCATTTCTCTATCAGAGTCTTGTTGAAAAACTCTTATTAAGTGGGAAGTATATCTGCAACTAGCATTCTAGATCAGTTAATGTCTAGCAATGTTAAAGTTTATATATAAAGTCCTGAGTTGGATGGCTACTTAGGAAAAATACCATACTGCAATTTTTAACATTGCTTTTATCTCAGTCTACCCATAAATTGCATTTATTATGGGTATTACAATTACTTTATTGTAACTAAAACAACCAAACAGCAAATTAAGTTTTCTCTTTCACCTGTTAAACCCCTGAATTCATGAAGCTGCTGTCTCATTTCCTCCAAAGACAAACAGCCATGAAACGGTAATTCATGTACTGCAGTAACTTTGCTTTATGCTTTTCATGTGCTGCCTGCAGGCACAATGAATAAGAATAAAAATTGGAACACAACACCAACAGATCCTGTTCTCTGTATCTGTGCTTTTAGCTCCCACACTCTGATTATTTGTTACAGCTCCTACAGCTCTGGGAAATGACAGACTCACAGATACTGTCAACAAAGCAGCCCTTCTCCCTTCAGGGTCTCATTCCTAGGGTGAAGGGAAGAATGGCAGAACCAGCATGCTGTTCCCTCCCCATTTTGGAGGCTGAGATCAGTGGCCCATGGAGAATTTCATACCAAGGAGGTCACAAGCAGGTGTTATTAGGAAGTCTAATGACAACAGTGGATGAAGATATATAATTTTATTAACTAACATTCTGCATTCTATTAGTATATTGTATCACCACCCTCTGTATTACTTTGTTTCTTACAGCAGAGCAGGTAAGCTTCTTCCTATAAAAGCAAAGTGATTCTCTGTCATATGTGGCCTCTTTTCCTCTTGTTAACCAGTGGGCACTTTCTTCTATCTCCAAGTTCCTATTTGCAAATGAGGGAAATGTTCTATGATCTCCCATACCAACTGGAAAGTGTATGGGCATCGAAAACTCAGAAAACAGCCAGCTTTCTGCATGTCCTCAGTACCAAGTATATCATTATCTTCTTAAAATTTAAGTTTCCAAGGAAACAAGAAGAAAAGGGGATATGAGAATTTTAAATGTAAAAGCAAAACAAAATGTCTGGTGGTTTGTTGGTTTTGTTTTTTTTTTTTAATTTTACGTATTCATCTACACTGTTATTAAGTTGCAATTATGATCCATGAGCTTATAATTTCATTAATTTATTAACACTAATCATTACGAGAATTGCGAAGATCAAGCCTCTATTATGCTCATTGCATATTCACAGAGGAATTCCTGTTCTAAAAAATAGATTATCTGAATAGACAATATAGACGATAAGAAGCGTCAGCCTTATGTTGATGACCAAATTGGAAGCAAATTGTAACAGTCATAGAGGAAACCTGTATCAGAGTCAGGAACTGAATGCAGATCTCCTCAGTAGCAGTTGATTGACATAAAGACTATGAGACAACTGCATCTACTACAGGGTCCCTGCCTAAAAGTGGCTTCCCCAGAAATCTCCAGTGTACTTATAGTTTTATTGTTGATTGTGATAACATGGTGTATTTTCAGCAGAGGTGTCTGGTTTTGCGCTTTCTTAAGTAAGTCACCAGGCTATCTTGACTAATTTTGTATTTCTGATGATCTTTTGTTGAGGCTTTGAAACAGAACCCTAGGTCTGAACATAATTTAAAACATATTGAGCTGCAAGTTCAAACCAAACAAAAAAACCAAACCCAAAACAGTAAGGAAGGAAAACTGCATTTCCAGACAGTCTTTACTTACTACTAAACAAGGACTATTCATTCAGCTTTGAGCAGAAAATTGGACCAGATCTTTTGCAGTCTCTTCAAACCTGAATTATCCTATAGTCTTACAAGATTCCTGTTTTCGGGTATGTTTTCAGAAGTAACTTATGATTTAATTTACGTGGGACATCTTATTACTGGCTTCCCTCAGACTAAGTGGAAATGCAATGACATTTTGACCTGTAAAATTACCCCCAAACCCTATTGTTGGCAATGATTTTAATCTGTTCTCTGGGTTGTACATGCTGTTTTGCTTCGATGAAAGCCCATGATTAAGAAAAAAAAAAAAGACATGGACCTGGAGGAATCATGACCCAAAGTCTAAAACTCATAACAGAAGAATGAGAATCCTTAGTTTGTACAGACTGCTTTTCATGTATCGTTCTCAAAGCATATGACAAAGAAAATTCTTTGACCACTGTACCTGCAAATAAAAAGCCCCCGCACCAAAAAAGTTTATTAATATGAAGGCTTTCCTCAAACACAGCATTTTGATGCAGTTTCCACTATCCCACACCAAAAAAGCTTATTAATATGAAGGCTTTCCTCAAACACAGCATTTTGATGCACTTTCCACTACTTAAGCTGTTATTAGCAGCAGAACATATATTAGTGCAATTGTATGTACCTTTACCTTGTCAGGAAATATGTAACTAAAGGCAGCAAAAGCTATAGTGCACTATCAGCTAGTTAATTACTTGCCATTAATAGATCAATAAATGGCTTCCATCCTGATTTGTTTAAATAAGTTAACTTAACAATTTCTCCCTGAGAAGGAATCATGTTGTAAAGTGATGTGATCCCCAGGAGGCAAAAAGGTGAAAAAGTTGAGTTGAGCAGTCTTCCCCATTTTCTCTGTTCTCTTTAATGCAATTTAAAACAAAAGGACTAGTCTATTCTAAGTGGTTCCTTAAACATCTGAAAAGTGTAAAGGAAAAGTTCTGACCTAGAAAAGCACATATAGTCAAGGCCACAAATGCTACTCTGATCCCATGAAGTCTATAGAGGTTTTACCACTGGCTTCAATACCACCAGGATTCCACTTCCTGAGGAGTACAAAAATATTGATTTTTTTTTTTTCATTTCTTCATGTGGATACCATACTGCAATGATTTATATAGAAAGCTCTGTGTTGGAAGAAGCCACACAAGTACTTGGAGCTGTGGTGTGAGATGGATAGGGTGTTATATCTAGCAAATAAGGTAATCCTCAAAAAAAAGAGAGAAAGAAACAGAAAAAATTATGAAAAACTAGTCCCTTAGCTTAGAAGACATAGACTGAAGCCAAGAACCACAGCTTAGAAAGAAAATGCATTGGCACTGCTGTACTATGTGCACAAACCATTACAGGTGTTATGCAAACACTGCAACGTGGGGTTCTTTGTTAGTGTCTAGGTTAAAATGATCGTGTTTGTTGTTTCATTCTGTGTTACTTAAAGGAAGAAAACCACCACCTCATAGAATATCTCTGGAAACTCACTTTGCAGAGCAAAAAACCAGCTTATCAACAGTTTCCAGGAGATTTTATCTTTCCATATAAAGGGTGAAAATGTGAAGAACGAAGTATCTGCAAAATACACCCAAATATTTCTAAGAAGCTTAAAAATGCAAATATCTGGAATTGATTATTCCTTAAAGAAATTTTTAGTAAGTTATTTTGTGTGCAGCTTAATTATTCTTTTAAATCTAGAAGCTAGGGCAAACATCTGCAATTACAGTATATGCTTCTTTTATTATAAATATATACTAACAAGTACAAGTTGGTCCCGAAATAAAAGTCTTATCTATTTAAAGAAGGAGAACCTAACACTGTATTCTGTGTAAAGTATGAGCTTTCTATGCACATTATTTCCAGCTCTGTCCCTAAGTAAATTCACATTCTAAATACCTGCCCAAAGATACAGCAATATAATACTTTTCTGAAGCATACGCAAGCAGGGAGCTTGTATCCATCAGCAGAATCTAATCACAATACTTCTGGTTATGAACATGATTCAGCATCCTATACATTAAGGCCCAAGAAAGAAGAAATGATTTTCTACTTTGCAGAGTCTCTGTGCTATGCTAAATTAAACAAAATAATAGCAACAGAGACAAACCATGCATTAGAAATAGTTCAAAAACAGCAGGGAGGAGGGAGAGGACTAACAAGCATTACAGTATCTATTAACTAACGGAATGCTTATGGAAATAGGGAAAAGATGCACATACATGTCAAATGAATCCTTATCTATAGCACTGTAAGAAAATAGACTAGCAGCTTGAAGTATAACACTGTAAGCATCCAGCCATTAGTTTCATCTGAAAGGCATTTTAATTGCTCTTACCACAATGACCTCATTTCACAATTATGAAAATGTCTTATATGTTTCCACTTATAACCCAGTCTTTGTGGAGTACCATTAAAGATTTATTTAACATCAAATGCTATCATACACAATTATAGCATAGATAAAGACTAGGAGCATACTAAAAGTGTTTCTAAAACTGAATTCCTTCTTTATATGCTGTTTTACTGATTGTGGAACAATTAATACTTTTGTCTTTATCAGTTACAGGTAAGACTTGTTGAGGAGGCACATATAGCAAGCAGTACTAGGACTGTTCTCTTCCAGTAAAGCTACACAGCAAAAGAAGAAATTTACAAAGAATCTACTTGTAGGTAACAGCATATCATATTTCTCACGCAACCACATCATTGACCATGCCAATCTCTACAATATGTAAGGCATCTGATTACCCACAAATACTCTGTGAAACTGTTTCAGAGATCTTAGTGGGAAAATTCCAACCCTCATTCAGCCAGTGCCCTTGCTGACTGTAGCATATGAAAACTGACAACCAGAAAAACAGGATAAAGTTCAAAGGAATTTTTCAATGCCTCTATCGATTAAGCTGTCAAAGTTTTGCTGTTTACCAAAAGCCTCCTGCTTTGAGAAGCAACAGATCTGAGAGAAGAATACACAGTTTTGTGGTGCAACACAATTCATTTTTGTAGTAAGCAAACAGGCAATATTTCCTAAGAGAAGAATTCCTTCTGTATTTTCAATTATCTACCTCTTTGTGAACTTTAATGAAGGAGAACAAAGAAGTATGTTCACTGAATGGACTGGTCTAACAGCAAAACCTGTTGAATGGTTCAGATAAAGTTTTTAACACTGTATTTAACTGATATCCCCGTCTCAGCCTACCTGGTGTATTCAGCAGCCGAGACATCTTGCAAGAATAGGAGATGAACTGCTCACAGTATTCAGCACTACTGGTAATGGCAGAAATCTGGTCCATCGTTGCACTGTAGTTGAGCTGCAGTACAGATAACTTCTCCAGGCTGTTGCCTCCCACAGAAGTTTGCATTTGAAGATCATGGTACACAGTTGTCCATAC